AGCGCCTTTCTAGTCTTCCAACTACTCAAAAACACTACGTGCCACATTCAGAGAGAGCCAGCATAGAGCCACATCATTATGTGACTATATACGTCTCCAATGTAAGCTCTTGTTACTTAGGATACGCTAACTGGCTAGCTAGCTCACTGCTGGTCAGCCAACATTACCCCATAAAACATAGCTACTAATTTTTTACATCAAGGTTTATAGCCTCAAACGTAACATTTATGTCATGAAAACAATATCAATGTGACTTTACATTAAAATGGCACTGACTCTAGGTTCATAAGATCGATGTGACTTCATGTTAAGAAGTCGATGATACAATCTAGGTTCAGACCAGCAGCATGTTGGTGCTATGTTGGAAACCAACTGTTGTGTCTAACTGTGGCTATCAAAACACAAAGAACTGGTTTAAGATTACTCACCAGCAGCAAACCGGCCCTCAAATTGCCTTGGTGGAAAATGGATGAAAGTACGCCATAGCCCACTGTCACAGTCGCATCTCTCTAGTGTGGTGGTAAAGATATCAATTCGCAAAATCTGACACTGAACTAAAAATCAAAACCTACACAATAGATATCACAGCAGGACCACCTTTAACCCCCTGTATGAAGTATAATCCTAGATTAAGACACGTTATGTCAGGTTTTCTTTTCATTTAATCAGTCACCCTTCCCAACTTCCCGTCCTTGCAAGCGCCTGCTCATCATCCTGCCCAGACCTATCTCCCCTTCCTCCTGGCATGCCAATATCTGTCACCAACCAGACTGCACCAGATGACCTCTTTTTTCCCTGCTTAGCTCTTCACTGTAGCAACAGCTTGTATCCTGCTGTGCTTGGCTTCCAGCCCTGGCCCCTTACCTGAACTAGGGTTGGCATCCTTCCACCCTTGCCCCAAAACTCTACAGTGGGCAGACAGCAACACTAATAAGACACATTTTCACAAAAAATAGGTACACTGCTAAACACAGTCAGACATTCATCACACATTTCTGTTGAAGAGGCTTTGTATCACAGTTCTTTTTTAAGCAGCTGCCTCCCTACCTATTTGTCTCTGCCTCTCCTAGTGAATTTTCCTGACTCATGCTGGGCTTCATCACCAGTCATCTGGGACTCAGGAACTTTCCATTAGTCATGACACAAACCAACCACAAACACACTGCATGATTTCTCTGCAGTCTGCACAATGACACTCAACATACACTATGTAGTACAGTACAGTATAGTGCAGATCGGGAACACCCCACAATTGGTCCAATTGCTGCAATTGTAGAGATGCTCTGACACAGTTGTCTAGCCATCACAATTTGGCCCTTGTCAAAGTCACCCAAATCCTTACACTTGCCCATTTTTCTTGCTTCTAACACATCACCTTTGAGGACAAAATGTTCAGTTGTTGCCCGTTATATCCCACCCACTGACGGGTACCATGATAACAAGATAATCAGTGTTATTCACTTCACCTGTCAGTGGTCATAATGTTATGGCTGATTTGTCATAGTTCTTCAGAGTTGAACTTCGGTAAATGTACTTTGCATCTGAAAGTGACTTCACTGATTGCAGCAACTCAGTGGAAATAGAGATTTTTGAGTGTGCCTGAAAGCACACTATCTATGTTTAGTGTGCCTGCAAAGCACACTACTATTATTCCCTGTGCTTATTATAATAATATTTTATTCTTCCGTACGTTTTTCGGTCGACTACTCCTCCCGCAGTTTTGGTCGCACATACACAAAAAGGTACCAAAACGTGCGGCTCGGTGAGGACATTAGTGCTATGACTTTTCTAAGCGTTTCGCCAAACGGTTTGCCGATAAATCGCCAAAAACCGGCCCAAAAAGGGTGTGTATTGGTAGAATGTTCTACCTGCAATAACTGCCGATTCAGTAGAGTGTAGGGAGAGAGAAACATTTGTTGAAAATAAATTTGTAAATGCTCCCAAGGCCACAAATGTCACTCTACAGAAATGATTTATAGATAGAAACTTAGGTAATCCATTGGGGTCGCAGTGAACCGACAGTTTTGGGCGGGAAACGCACTGATGCGCCAGCACACCCCTTCTCACGGCCCCATCCTAAATCGCCATGTTAAATGTAGAAGGAGGAATTTTAAAGGAGCCTTGTTGAACCCTCTCCTTTCTCCAATCTCCCGAGGTCACAATTTTTTTTAACTTTACCACTGAAAACTCAGGCAAGTCCTTAAATGGTGCAACAAGATGACGATGCTCAACCGGTGCTTTTCGGTTTTCATTTCGGTCGTTCCTGGGCCAATGGTTCGAGGGGGTTCATTTTTAAAATGTTTCCTATCTCTTCCCAAGAAAGTCTGCAAGTGGCTGTGGCTCCCCTGGTTTGCAAATGACAACCAAAGCTGGCTGTGAAGCACACACATGACACCCACACACCATAGCTAGCTAGCAGAGTAGTAAGTTAGTGTTATAGCTGGCTAGCCCAAAGATAATTAGACAGGTGGCTAAGCAAGCCAAAACAATTTAAAAGCTGAAATGATTTTAATATTAACACAAAATATGTGCAATGCACCGCCTTAAATATTTTACCCAATGGAATATGAGCTGTTCGCTTAATGTACATTAGCATCTCCCTTCAGGAGGGCATAAATACAATTAAACCCACATTTAACCAAAGCTAGCGCTTAGCTAGCGCTTAGGGCTAGCGATTTAGCGCGGTTAGTTGCCATTAGAAAGGTTTTAAATGCTAGCGCCAAGCCTAGCTAGTCAGGAACAAGGTATGATGTGCTAGGCACATCGCTAGGTAAGAGGACAAAGGATTACTGTGGCTAAATTAAACGTGACAAAAGACACTGAATTCCTTACTTATTTGTTATCAACCATGAGGAGTAAAGCTTTTACGATTTTTTTCTGCATCCTTAACTGCCAAGTAAAAATAGTTTATACTTAAAAAAATCATGCCCTCTGCTTGAAAAAACTACTCCCTGTGGCATCAGCAGCAGTCCCAAGATGTCATCTTTCATTGCTCCTCCCCCAATTCAATTTCTCTTTGTCAGGGTTCCCATCCACATGTTATGACAACAATGACCAATGCTCGCCATCCTTCCTCCCAAACACACCTATGGATGTCACTATTTCTGAAGACACGCACCTTGACACTGAAGGTGTCCAGGTTCAGCAATAAAAGACGGCGAATGAGGCAATCAAACCGAGCTGACCTTCTTGCTGCAGGAGCCTCCATAAGACGCCGCGTAGCGGCATGCCCGTTTGTTCCGCATACAACCCCGACCCTGGGACAATCTACAACTGCCCAGAGCCTGGACCCCACCCGAAGCCTGTGCCCATCAACCAATCCTTACTGTCATTGTAAGTCCTATGTCAACAAGTCCTCTGCCAATGACCCTTATATTGAGAGAAGAACGCATGAGAGACCGCAATGTGTGGCGAGCAATCAGAGAGAGCTGTTTAACTTTTTTCCCTTTTATTGTGTCCATAGTGTGTATGTTGTGTTGTTTTGTTTGTTTGCTTAATTGGTATCTCCAGTTTTGGTTATCTTGCTGGGTTGGGCAATGGGCCCCCTGAAAAATTGCAAAACTTTTCGGGCCTGGCGACCACCTCGCCTCTGTCGAGTAAAATGTCTCAATTCTAAAGGTATGAAAATACAGTGAGTTTATTTTCATTTGATTATACACTGAATGAGAATCATAGCATATGAACTATTATATTCAGCGTTTCTCCCAAAATAGATGCCCCTAAATGTTACACCACTGGAGCACACTGGACCTTTAAAATTGACGCAATCTAACAGCAAGCACTGCCATTTTAAAGCACAGTTTTAGTGTACCATCCATTGGTTGTTAGTAAAAACTGACTACTGATGGTGCAATGAATACGATCAAAAGTCAGGGTCAGGGTTATCAAAAAGTCTCTAAAAAGTTACCCAGGTCCTTAAGTCAGGGCAGTGTTTTCGGTTTAACAAAATCAAGAAAGCTGCAATAAAACCAAGGGCACATGTCAAATATGTATCGGTTGTTATCCTCTTATTGGTTATTGAATCTTTTGAAGTGGTTAAGACCAAAAGGAGCCGCTTTGAAAGTAGACCATTTTTTTGAAGGGAGGAAATCATTATAGTGATTGTATTTCTGTGTCTATAATATACTTAGAGAAATTTTTGATTTTTCAGGTATAATGATAAATCAATGTCATTGGAGTTCAATAGTGAAGCG